TAGAGTTTTATTAAAACAGCTGCGTGAGCGGCCGCTGGCATGTCCACCCGCACCGCCCAGCTGTGAACGAGGCGAACATGAGGATCGTTCGGCCCGGCAGCAGCAACAACAAACAAAAGAAACGGCAGAGACAGCGACTATTGAAATAAAAGCACGCAGCAGCGTTCGCTGCTTTCTCTTCGTGATCTGGGGTTGGCGCTGAGGGCGAATTGACGACGTCGCGACGCGTCGTTGTCGCTGCCTGCGTGTATATTTTTGTATTCTCCTTATTGCTCTCCTGGCGTGTTTGCGTATGTTTGTATGTGTATGTGAGTGCTACCCCTGTGTTTGTGTTTGTGCAATCGACGTTTGGCCCCTTGATAAAATTGTGTATGCCTGCCGTTCGCTGCTCTGCTCCACCTTAGCTGCAGCCGCAGTCGCAGTCGCAGTCACCACCACCAGTCGCGCACTCAATTAAGCTTATCGCGCACTGTGCGTGCGTGTGTTTGTATGCGTGCGCCTGTATTGGGGATATGTATTTGCGCTGAGTGCTTTAGAGGTGACTTTCCTCTTGTGCGCGCTCCTTGACGGCTGAGAAAAAAATTTGCTTGTTTCAGTTTGTTTGTCTGCCTGTCAGTCTGTCTGTGTGTGGGTGTGTGTGTGTTGGTGCCGTGTGCAAAAGGCAGCGACGCAGCGTTAAAAATCCTCTTTGAGAGGATTAAATATACAACACACAGCTTTTGCTTATTGTCATGTGCTCTTTGCTTTGTGCGTGGTGCACACTGTCACAAATATGCTTTGCTTAGCATAAAAACCAAAATTGTTGGGCATCCTAATTGACATTACGTTTGTCAACCACTGTGTGTCTGTACGCCCTCCAACTACACAGTTGTCACTGTTCCATAAACGGACAATGTCCCCTGGCAAGAGCTTAAGGGTAGCAGCGACAGCGGCAGCGACAGCGACGCTTTCAATTACATTTCATTTGCATTTCGTAGTTGCTTATTTTTATACGTATGTATGTGTGTGTTTATTTTTTTGCTGATATTGCCTTTTTCTGCCCAGGCACATACACACAACACACACTCACACATGGATAAGTCCTCAGTGCTTTTTCGCCGTTGCTTTGACCAATCGCATGCAAAATAGGAAACAATTTTTTCGCCTTGCCACAACTGGGCGAATACTTGACGCGGACATTGGACATTGAGCTGCGACGACAGCGACGCCGGCGGCGTTAATTGAATTAAAGCGCTACAAAATAAATAGGCTTCAGACGGATGTGCGCAACTCTCGCTCTCTCTATTGCTCTCTCTCTCTCTCTTCTTCTCTATTTCAGTCGTTTGCTGTTTATGAGCTTAGCAAAGCTTTGGCTGGTCACGTGCATGTTGAAATCCTTCTTGCAGACGCTGCAAATTTTCGACTTTTAGCCCACTTCCTTTGCTACACAAATGCGAAGAAGCAGCGAAAAGTTTAAAGAAATTCGAAAATGTTGTTCTTCGCTTTGTTGCTATCACTTCGCTTGCCTTTTGCTACATTCTTTTTTGCTTAAAACTTTATTTTTGTTGTTGTTTTTGTTGGTTTTGCTCAATTGCAAAACATATTTTGGTCACTGACCTTTTCTTTTATTTTGCCTGCTTTTAGACTCTTTTTTTGTTGTTGTTTGTGTTCCACTTTTTAAATTCCGCTTTTGCCGTTGTTGCTGTTGTTGTTGTTTTTTTTAGCTGTAGCTTTTCCTTGGGGCGAGCTACTACTGTTGAGCAACTGTTCAGCCGAGGGCTAATAACGCGCACAAACAATTGCATAAAACCTTAAGAGTGTATGTGTGTGTGTGCGTGTGTGTGACACAAGTTGATGAGCTGCTTGAGATAAAAGCGCAGCACGTCAAGTGATAAAAATCAGAGAAGCATTCAGCAACAACAATGCAAAAATAACTAAGGAATTCAGCCGAAAGGAAAAAATGAAAATAAAAAGTAGCAGCAGAAGCAACTGATATGGCAATATTCTGCGTTTAAAGAGCATTGTCAATAATTCTCTGTTGTTGGCAATTTTTGTTTTTGGGGATTTTTGCTCTTTTGATGGAATTTCTGAAGGCAGAGCCTTACAGCTGCGATGACTTAAATAAATAAAGGCAAACAATAACTAAAAGAAAAGATCAAATTAGGAAGCGAGCGCATTGTGCGGAATTTATTAATAATTTTGTATGTTTTTGTATAAATAAATTCGGTAAATTGTAGCTTAAGCAACACGTGCGACAAAAAACCTCCCTGCAGTATCTAGCAAAAGTCCCAGGCAGAGTTGCCGGGAGAGAAAGTACGCAAGTATGTTTGCATGGGATGCGTGTATGTATGTGTGTGTGTGTGTGGGTGGCTGCGCAGCTGACGTGCTTTTGTTTTAGTTTACAGTTGTCATGAATGTTTTTTGTTTTTGTTTTTGTTTGGGTGCTGCAACAGGCAGCTAAACAGTAGCAGCAGCAACAGTTGAAAAGTGTTAGTCATGCTGGCGCGACTGTGTTTTGCGCTCTCTTTAATTGCTCGCGATCACCGGCTGAACAACAGTTATAATTTGAGAATAATTTTTTTGCGCGTGAGCGCAAGTTGTGCGCTGTTGAAAAGCTCGGCCAGAGAGAGAGAGGGAGAGGGAGAGACAAGGCGCTTTTATTGTTTTTGCTTCTGCTCTGTTTCATTAACAAAACAACAGCAATATTTATGTGTGATTAGTTGAGCGGTTGTTATTATTGTTGTTGTTTGAGTGGGTTTCCTTTGCGCTTACTGCATGTGTACATGAGTATGTGTGCGCGTGTGTGTGTGTGTATGTGTGTGAAGTAGGTTAAGCTGACAAAAAGCAAATCGAGATTGGAGATTGGGATATATTTTTTTGTTTTTTTTTTTTTGCCTACAATTTTAATGTGATTTGCATAATTTGTGTGTGTGGCCCAAACGCACAGGTGTTGTAGCTGGTCGTGCGCCAGGGTTGTCATGACGCCGCAGCGGAAGTGATGACGACGCCGCTGCTGGGAATTGCACTAGCAGCTATCAAGTCGTTACACAGAGAGCGAGTGAGACAGAGAAAGAGAGGCAGAGCGAGAGGGAGATGTATTAATGCTTATTCGAATGTATGTATGCATGTATTTATGCTGCTCAAAGCATAGATCGCGCTCTCTCTCTCTCTCTCTCTCACACACACACACTCGCTCAGTTCATTCAGAAATTACGCGCTGTTGTGTGTTCATACCCTGCACCCTTTGAGAACGGGTGTATATGTGGCTTAAGAGCAAGTTTTTATGTAAATTCAAATTATAATCATATTTTGACAATTACAATAGCTATTATTTACAGTTATGAATTAGTAAAGCGACTATTTGTCGCATTATTATAGTTATATAAGAAAAAAAAGAAAAAGGATTTTTTTAATCATGTCACTTTCTATTAGCTCTGCAAATTTCATAACAATCGCACAAGAAATACCCAAGTTCTTAGAAAATGCATTTTCCATGTTGTATGTATTTATGTATGTGTGCATGTGCGTACATATGTATGCATATACGTATGTATGTATAGATGAAAGTATGAATTAATGCAAAGGCGATTCGTTGCTGTGTGCAGGGCATCGTCTGGTCGATCATTCCCGGCTCAAGTACCGTTGCTTTTGCTATTGTGTATACACATGGACACACAGGCCCAGGCAATGGAATGTGTCAGCCAGCTACTGCACGCGAATCGGGGATCTATTAGATTGCTGCCCGGCTGCCCCATCCCGCGACCTCGCCCCCATGCCCCACACCCCACGCCCCTCGCTTGCAGCGCAAAAGGGGTGCGGCCGAGCTGACTGTCGACGATTGACGAGCGCGGGCTGGGCTAGCCGAACCGCCGAACCGTTTTCAATTGCGATCCGATCCGATCCGAGCCGATTCGGATCCGATTTGGGATTGGGCCGAGTCGTTTGTGTGTTGGAAAACAAAAAGGAAATGGGAGACGGAAAACGACAAAGATCACTGAAGCAAAACCGAAAAGCAACAACAAACCAATTTGTATCTATGTATCTATGTATCTTTGTATCTACATATATAAAATGCACAACTACTTGTTTGTACTATGAGATACAATATGCCCGACTGCCTTCGCGATGTATAACAAATGCTGGCACGGATTTAAATATTTCTATACTGTTTTCACTTTGACTTCAACTTGAATTAAATATACTATGAATTTGAATATATTCAAGAATCAAGTTCATCTTAAGGACTAAATAAGATATTATTTTTTAATCCTATAGAGAAAGTCGTTAAAGGCTTTGCAATTTGGAACTCTTCATTCCGTTTATAACGATATTATTAAAAATATAATATTTATTGATATTTGTTTTTTAACAATTTCATGATTTTATCATAAATTAAGATTTGAATATCGCATTTTATTAAGGAAAAATGATTAAAATATAAATATTAGAACAATTCTCTATTGTAGGCTGTTTATTAATAAAAAATATTACAGGAAAGATTAAAATATTTAACTTTCTGATGAGAGTATTTATTTACTATTCATATATTCATTTGAATCCCGAAACCCCGTACAGAGTATAGATACATATACTTGTTAGCATGTCATAAATAAATTTTCAATTTGCAATTCTGCAATAACTCAAAACTTGAAAATTAAAACATAAAACTTCCCTTAAGAATTTGCCATACTTTATTTTGCACAATTCAAGCACATGGAATTACGTTCTAGATACAAATTTCGCTTCAAAAGTTGAAGTTGAAATTCCTCGAAAAAACCCCAGAGATCCACAAGTGGAGACCTGTTCGACTCTACATGGAGAGGTGCAAAGGTGGATAGGGCCAAAAGTTTGGTTAGGGCGGGTCGGGTCGGGTCGGGTCGGGTCGTATTTGGTGTAACATATTCATTTATATGTTTGTATGTAATTGTAACTATTTGTTGCATCTTTTCTATGCACCATAAATAGATAGATACTTAGATACATACCAATAGATATAGATATATGTATATCTATGTACTTACCGTTGCTTGGAAGCTTTCGTAATCCGCTCGTTGTTGTTGTCTTTTTCTTGTTCTTCTTGTTGTTGTTCTTCTAGGCGATGGAAAGTTTTTGCTAAAATAACTGTAAGCACAAACACTTGAGGCACTGTTTCAGATTGGTTTTCTTGAATGCTCCGTTATACTTTGTATTCTTCTTCGTTATTCTTTTGTTATTGCAAAAAGCATAGTCAAGAGTTGCAACAGTTGTGAATGAGTTGAAAACGGAATCGGAATTGGAAAATAACTTAATATAATTCACAGCTGAGCTGAACAATTGCCGCGTGCAAGCAACGGCGGCGCACGAATCTCCAATCAGAACTGAAACGTAGGGATGTCGACGCAGACGCCGTCGCCGTGTTGTCGTTGTCCCTGAATGTTAATATTTGTTGCTGTCGCTGCTGCTGCTGCTGCTGCTGCCGCTGCCGCTGCCAGAGTCGCGACGACTTCGGGCACGAACGAGAGCACGATCACGAAAACCGAACTGTTAGCGGACAGGGCGGCAGATTTGGGCTGTCGGTTAGGGGAGGGGCGACGGTTGGGCGGAAGAGTTGGTTGGAGCCGATGTGCGCCTTAGTATGTGTTCAATGAGCGTGTGTGTGTGTGTGGGTTTCGAGGGGCTGCCACGACGACGAACACGCGCGCCTGTTTTACGACGTTTGTTGGTGTTGGTATCGATGTCGTCGCCGCTGGGTGGATAATAATATCGTCGTCTACGCTCTGCTCCCGTTTCGTGTTATTGTAATGGCGGCTTTCAAATGTGATAAATAGCCGAGTGTTTGTGTGTGTGTGTGTGTGTGTGAAGCCGAGTCGCAGCCTTCGTGTGCGCTAGAAACCGAAAGAAAAAAAACGTTAAGTGGGATGTTGACGGACGCGGACGAGCGGATGAAATGGAATGAGCGTTTGAATTGGCTTGGCGGCCAGTAAAACCAGCCAAAGTGCTAAAGCGCCGCAGTCGGCCAAGAGCAAATAAAGACTGAGAGAGAGCGAGAGCGAGAGCAAAAGAGCAAGCGTAGCAGCCAGCAACATTGACATTTTGAATTGCCGCTCACTAATACAATGATGATATGGCGCAGTGACAGCAACAGCGGCAGTTGCCGCTGCGTTGGCGCTCTTCTCTGGCGCTCGCCCTTTACGCTCTTGACTCTACACACTTAAGCGCGCGCTCTCGCACTCTCTGGCCTGATAAGCGCATGTCGAAATCAAGTGAGCGCCAGCTAGCAGCCGCGCACTGCTCACCACATTGGCTTCCTCTTGCTTGTTCGATGTGACTTGCTATTGCCGCTCTGCGCGCCTCTGCCCCATGTATTTTCATGCTGTCGCTGCCTCAGCGTATTACGAAATATGACAACAATGCAGTTTTGTGGCAGCGCTCGTCTGCTCGTCCTCGTTTCGCTCTGCCGCTGCCGACGTTGCTTCTTCTTGGTTAGCAGTTACTGCATGCTCAGCATAAAACTGTGCTCTCACGCTCTCCACGTTGCGCTCTCTCCCGCTCTCACTCTCTTCGCAAGTGGGTGGCTCTTCGCTTGTTGCTCTGTTTGTTTATTTATTCTCGCATCACTTGCAAATTGATTGCATCTCGATGAAGTTTTTTTTTGCTCAACAAACTACATAAGCTATAAATAGTAACAGGGAAATTTTCTAACGTGGCGCATTCCGCCACATCTATTTTATAAATGCCATCCCATTATAAAAAATAAAACGGGTTTTCGATCAGAACGCGTGCTCCGCTAGCTGGCGCGCGTCTAACTGAAACCGAAATCAAATTGACTTTTCCCCGCTTCACACTTGAGCTTAATTTTATGTGCATACCAATTTTACAAACGGGGGAACCCTAAGGCCCTACCTTACCGGCCGAGTCTGTCGGGGCCCGCAATAAATGGTAATTCAATATTTTAATACATTTCGGGGCGTTACCCAAAACAGATTCCAAGGCCTTAGATAAAGCAAGGATCATTAACGGATCGTTTATCAAAATGCATGAAAACTCCTTTGGGAAGTTTTGAGAGTGGGTAGCAAAGGGGTATTATGGTTTCGGCTTTAGTTCCAATGGGTCAAAAAGAAGCATCTCAGACATCATTAAGTATATGCTGAAAAGTATATGTATATCTTTTTCGAGCACTTCAGGAATATCTTAACTTTTGTGTAGCTCTCTCCCCTAAACTGAAGAAACTGAGCTTTGGCATTGACACTCTTTTGGTACCACATTTAAACCCTTCCTTTTAGATCGAACGAAATACGGGGAATTTATTTAGTTAAAAATGAAATTTTCACAGTTTGGGGCTGAGGGAAGAAGCTTACGGAAATTTGTAGCTGGGTACAGGACATCTTTTAATCAAGTATTCTCTAACTGACCCAAGGTCCTTTCATCGAAATTATATCATATTATATATATAACTGACGTCGCTTTAATTAAGGGAATTGAGCTTATATTTATTATCTTCTTGACTTGGCTTAAATTCAGGGAATTCTAGGTTAGAGACTAATGTAATACCAAACCGGATCTAACTATATATATATATATATAGAACTTTGACTTGGGTTCAGTTCATGGAATTTAACTTCTAGTTAAGAGATTTGCACAAAGCAGACTCGCTAACCAGTTGATTATTTACTAAGTATTTCGTCATAATCTGACAATAAGCCAGACAATTAGCAAATGAATCATTTGAGTGAAGATGAATCATTCGATTCGTCAGAAAGGGCGTTTCTAGTACATAGCACAGGCACCCTGTATTTCACGGTCAATTGTCTCTAGATTTGCACTATCTTTCAAGCGTTAAAAATATTGATATTAAGGTAATCAAATGTAATAAAAAAAATTTAAATATATAGTCTGAAATATATAATATTTGATTGCATAGGAAAATATATAAATCTCGAATCTCGTGCGTCGAAACGAGGACCTCCCATTGTCAGCAATGCTTCTTCCACTTCCACTCCTTCAACGAATCCTGCTTTCTTAGCGGCAACTTAACTTTTTATATATGAGAGAGAGAGAGAGCGAGAGAGAGCGATTAAAGTGGGAGAGTTAGAGCTTTAGTGTAGAAAGAATCCCAATTTTGGGTTGCTCTAATCCCGAAATAAAAATGAATTCAAAAGGAATTCATATTAAATTAAGGAAAAATTAAATAAAATTGTAAGCGTAGAAATCTTAGCTAAGAACAAAATTATATTTAAATTGTTAAATTTAATTTGTTTCAATTTTCCTTAGTTTAAAATTGCAAGATAAGGTACTCGGCTAGGTCTCAAATGTCAGGATGTTTGGCTATATTGCAAAGTAAAATAAAACTATATAAAAATACTGGTTCTACTTTAACCATATAATACTGAGATTTGGATCAGCCCATTTTCTATTGCAACTGGAAAACTAAATGGGTGCGGCTCATGTGCTGGCTGTTCACCTCTCTAATGGGCAGGCTGATTCTGGGTACTGCCCAGCGAAATACTGGATCTTCAAATAAACTCTAATAGCTTGGGCGATAAAGTACCTGGGTACTGCCCAGCTAAATACTGGGTTCTGCAACTGGGTTAACCGTGTTGTGGGACACGTTGATCAACAGGTTTATGGGATCGCGAGCTTGTTTTTTCCCCGCGGCTGATATAAATTAATTGCTTAATTGTTATAGTTGTTGTTGCTCTTGCTGTTGTTGTTGTTGTTGTTGTTGTTGTTGTTGAGGCATGATTTGATACGAAATTTGCTTTTAATTAAATAACTCTCCAATATGCCAGCAGTTCGTGCGAAGGCGTTTCTCTCCCTCTCCCTCTATCTAACTCTCCACCTCACTCTCCACCTCACTCTCTGTCTCGCTCTCCCTCTCTCTACCCTCTCGCTCTCGCTTGGTGTAGATCAACCTTCGGTGCCTGTGCGTAGGGGTTTTCGTTTTCCTCTCAATTATTTGCCCAACCCCCCCTCTCGCGACGACTCACCCCTTCTTAGACCAAAGTCGTGCACTTCGTTAACGTTTGCCGAATCCGTTTTCGAATCGATGACAAAAAAAAAGCGAATAGGTATTCTGCGTGGGATTCTCGAATGCGTCAACTTTTTCACGGACTGTATGGACAAGTCACATACCCTGTAATTGTTGATAAAAGGGTTCTAAGACTAAAACGGGCTAGCTCGAACTTGAAATACCATATTTTCAATTTTTGTCCAAAACCGAATCATTTATAACTGTTAAAACAGGGTATGGAGTAGTCGAATGTGATCAAACCCAGCGCGACGGAGTCAAAGCCTGCTCAAGTTGAATTAACATATATTGTAAGATCTACATAAATAGGGTATTTGTTAGTCGAGCACGTTTTCCAGCTATGCTATTTGCTTGTTTATAATATGGACTTTTGGCTAATGCCCAGCTAAACTGGTTTGTAATTGGTCAACAACGTTTGCCCATCAAGGAGTCGCTAGACCCAATTTGTTTATTGTTATTTTCGGAACGAAATCGAATGGTTACTAAATTTAAAGCGCATAAGATTTGAATTTAATTAAATTCCGTTGCCTGTTTAGAATGACGCAGTTTCCATGGATCATTTGGAGATTTCTAATTAGCATACGTCTTGTATTTTACCCAGCCATTCGATTATTCCCAGTAATAAACATTGGCTAAACTGTCATAGGGATTTTATTGTGGGACATTTTTCCCAACTTGCCAAACTCCACTAGCTGAACTTTTCCCTGTTTCTCTTTGTTGTTTGTCCTTCCTGTGTGAAGCTTTTCAAATATGTAGAAATATGTAGGATCTAACTTTCTAGCTAACCTATCAAAGATATAAGGCTACGTCTAAATGATGCAGAATGTAAATTATTTATATAGGCCCTATGATAAAGGGAATGAATGCCTTTCGCCATAGTCACAGCAAACTGTGTAACCAACAAGCATACTAAAAAAAGAAAATCAAAATAAAACTGAGAGAGTTCCCTAAGCTGCAACGCATTAAAATGCTTGACCTGAATTCCAGGCCCAACGCGCCGCAGCGAAGCTAGCCAAAGACGGGCCAGGGAAATAATGTGAAGCCCAAAAAGTGAGACTAACTTGGCTTTCCTTAACGGAGTTCTTTGAGTGTGTGTGTGCGCGCGAGATTTTCCTGCTAAGTTTTCTAGTTTGTGGATCGGTCTGTTCCCAAAAGCTATTCCAATCGGAATGCAATGGGCAACTGCAGCTGCAGCGCATTCCCGTTTGCTGTTGTTGCTTTTGGCTGGCAGCCATTTTGCTTTTGCCTTTTTTTCTTCTCATAATGAGCGCGCCCTTTTTAATGCAGTGCTCGCCTTATGTCTAACGGTAAGCTCTCTCAGTCGTCTCGCCCGCCTGCTGTCATCGCACACTGTATTGTGGCCATGCCTGTGCTTGGCTTTGGTTTTGGCTGTTCTGGAAGCTTCTCTTTTGCTGCTGAAAAAACGGACGTACATTTTGCTTTTGACGAAAGCGAACACAAAGTGAAAAACTCGAGTGCGCTCAACTCTTCGCGCTCTTCACTTTGCTTCAAATTTGTTGTCATGGATACATTTTGTGTAAAATAATAAAGCTGCCAACTAACGGTTAAGTGCAGTGTGTTATATATTGTCAATAAGCTTTTGACTTCCTTGGCTTGGTAATTGCTCGAAGTTTCGACATTCATGGACAAGCAGAAGCAGCAGCGTTAAGAACCAGCTCCAGCTAGACAAAAGGCAATGCAATAATCATAATTACAAGTTAACCTTAAGAGTGACACAAATCCGGCCGCAGCCACGTTGTACGGCCTCTCGTTCGTTCCCAGCAATTAACTTCAAATGACACAAATGCCACCAAGGCACGCCAACAAACAGCCACCCGCCTCTGCCGCAGTCGCAGCCTTAGTCGCAGCAGCAGCAGCAGCAGCCTCAGCC